ATTATTATTATTATTATTATTATTATTATTATTATTATTATTATTATTATTATTATTATTATTATTATTATTATTATAATAACTTTTCCTGATATTATATTTACATGGTTTTTTATTTTTATTTTTTTTTTTTTCAGAGATTTGCAAAATTAGCAAAATATTTACCAGTGATGCCAATTTTTGCTGGTGGAAAAACAAGGTTTCAACCGGTTTATGTATGGGATTTGGCAAAGGGGGTAATTAAAGCAGATCAACAATTTGAAAAATTTAAAGGAGAATTATTTGAGATTGGTGGTCCTAAAAGTATTTAATTATCAACTAACCATATTTGATAGTAATATACAAAATCATACAAATAATCATATACATGCATACATATATTTTTACAGTTTACACTTATAAACAATTAATCCGATTAACCTTAACTCAAGCTGGATTACGACGTCCAATCATTTCATTACCCTGGTCAATTGGTTATTTACAAGGTTTATTAATGGAACAATTACCAATAAATCTATTTACCATAACTCGTGATCAAATCAAATTACTCCGTAAAGATAATGTTGTTGATGGTAATGGTGTGTTGACTCTACATGATTTAGGAATTGATCCAACTCCACCCGAAAAAGTAAGTTATCAGTGCATAAATAATATATTTGTCATAATATATTTATCGTAATTTATCATAATATACTAATACTGTATTTGTCGTAATATATCCATTTAGATATTGTACACGTATTTACGGAAACATGAAATTAATGCTAATACACAAAACAAACGTACACATCGCCCAATCGATAGATCAATAGAACAAGAAATAGAAGAAGTTAATCAGATCATTAAGGATATGCCCAAAGATGCTTTAAATAAAGAAGCTGAATATAGAAAATTACATGAAGAGATTGATAAAAAAAGATCAAATGAGATAAATAATCGGTAGAGATAAGAAAGAATGACAAAAAGAGAGATTGATAAAGAGATTAACGGGATAAATAATCAGTAGATAAGAAAAGAGAATAATCTATATAGGTTGATTATTTTAAAATAAGTGAATATTTTTGGCTAAAATATAATTAATAAATATTTTTTGTAAATAAATATTTTCACTAATTTTAGAATAGATGTGATTTAAAAAGGAATTTCATTCAATTCGACTTTTTTCATTGTCCATATCATCAATATATAAATTAATATCCGATATCTAGCGTGAAGCATTTTACAAATAATAAGAAAACTTATTGCCTAAATCTCTGTTATTTGATGATATTCATCTCATTGAGTATACATGTGATGTTGCAACAACCAACTTAGGCAGGGCCTGCTTTGGATTTCAAATTTCATGATTGACTGAAAATACTTCTGTCATTGGACTAATAACATCATAGTAAATCAAGGCTATTAAAAAAAAAACGTTGCAACTAATAATAATTTAAAGGCCACACAAACTAAACGGCCAATATCTATACATTTTAATTCTCCTTCAGGAGGGATCCTGCCAATTGTTGAAACATAATGGAAATAGCCTTATGCAACTTGAATATTTCTTTTTTCCTTTTTTTTTTTTGGAGTGTTGCAATTTATGCTGATGATCGATATAATTCCATCAAACTTTTTACGTTTATTTGGATAGCCTTCTACACTTTGCTGGAAACCTCCTACCATTCAAGAACAATGGTCACAAAAAAATTATTATTATTGTTATTATTTTTATCATCATGATGATGTATCCGAGGTGGAGGAGCTCTTTATTGTTATCGCCATTAATTCTTACGTAATTTTGGTTTCCATTTCACCAAAGATTTTTAAAGTAAAAAAACAGTTATTTTGAAAGATTCTACAACCTTGTGTATTATAATCACAAAGGCTGGTAGCTTGTCAGTTTTATCCTAGGGTCTTTATGAGTGATTTAAAGAAAATAAAAATATTAAAATGATATAGCAATGTTGTAATAATTCGAAATTAAATAGCATTGATATATATAGCAATAATTAATTGGTGAATTAAAAACACGTTATCGCTTTGATTCAATTTATATAAATTTTTTTTATGCTTTTTCGTGTAATGTTTTTTTACATTTATATTGACCAATTAAAATTTGATTTTTTTATAAGTCACGAGAGTTATCATCTTCAAAGGGTCTTTTTTTTTTAAAAAAAACAAACAAAAACCAAAATACTTTGAATTTAATTTATTCTTTTAAAAATTTGTTTAATTTAATAAATTTTAATTAGGAAACTCTTCTTTCTTTTGAATTAGAATAAAATAATAATAAAAACAATGACTACAGAAATAGCGGATCGGCTTGAAACAACGTCTGAAAATATTTCAAGGTGCTTTGATTTATTTTATAAATATATACATTTAAATGATTACTTTTTCATTGTGCCGATGTTGATGTCGATATGGTTGATGATAATATTTATGATTTTAACGATTATAATAATAATATTACCATTATAGTCAAACAGTTGTCACGTCAAGTATAGTGGTTCCTTCAACATCTGCAGCTAGACGAAATAGTCGTCAAGACACTTTGCCTAAACGGCGTGCAAGTAATGATATGACTAGGCAAAATTATGAAGAGGTTACTTATTAAATCCCTTTTAATAATTGATTGTTGATTACTGTAATAAATATGTTATTTTGTTATTCATTATTCATTTACTGTTAATTGAACTAATCTTATAATTATAGAGCAAGAGACCACGTTTAGATATGAATAATTCTGAATTAAAAAAACGTGGGCAAAGAATGTTTGGAGTTTTGTTGGGCACATTAACAAAATTTAAATCTGAAAGTCAAAATAAGAGCGAGGCTGTGTGTATTTAATTGAATTATTTATTTAAGGTCATTTTAGCAAAAAAAATAAAAGCAACAAGCTTATTTATTAATTAAAATTTTTCTTCTTCGTCATTTATTATTAGGAAATTAAACGAGAACAAATTGAACAAAAATTAAAAGAAAAATTAAAGAAGGATCATGAAGAATTGGTAGAAAAAATGAAAAGAGAAGAGGAAGAGCGTAAAGAAAAAGTGGCTAAAGACAAAAGAGAAGCAGAACAAAAGAGAATAAACGAACTTGTAAGATATCATGTAAAACTTATTTATACGACTGCGTGCTTGTAAGCAATTATTTACTTAATTTAATGATTAATAATAATGTAGCGAGATTGTTGGACAACTCAGAAAAAAAATCTAGCAAACTTTCTTTCTACCGCCACGGAACCGTCTCTTTATTATCTTCCAGCTAGATTATCCCAAGTCATGTTAGAAACAATAGCTGAACAAAAACGTCAATTGGCATTGGCTTCGGTTGCAATTTTGGCAAATAAAGACACCAATAATAATGTGGATAATAGTGATGAGGCAGATGTTATTTCTGATAATGATGATGATAAAAAAAATGATGAAAATATTCACAATGAAGAATCTACTGCTGCTGTTGTCACTACTGCTGCCGTCACTACTACTACTGCTACTAAGAAGCAAGATGATGATGATTCTGCTGACATTAACGTTGCTAATATTGCTTCCGCTGATAATAACAATAAAAATAATGACGATGATGACGAGGATATGAACAATGATGAAGAAGCTAATGTTAATACCACCATTAAGAAACAAGATGACGATTCTGCTGACGCTAGCACTGCTGCTATTGCTTCCGCCAACAACGATGATGACGATAGCGGTGATGATGACGATGGTGACGATGGTGACGATGGTGACGATGGTGATGATGATAATGACGATAATGACGAGGGTGGTGATGATAATAATAACGATGATGATAATACTGGTGATAGTAAGGATGATCCTGTAGAATATTAATTAACATTCAAAACAAATGAATAAAATATTAATATTAATTCAAGTATAATATTGTATCCTTTTTTTAATTATACAATTATAAAATGATTTTTTAGTTAGCAACAAGTTCATGATTATGAGTGTGAGTGATTAGTTTGTGAGTATCAGTTTGAATGAGTGAATATAAGAAAAAAAAATTAGTTCGAAATTTTTTTTCAATGGTGAGTGTTAGCATTTGTTATATACAAACAATACTTTCTAAAAAAATTTCATTTATTATACTATATTTATCAATTTATCATAAATATTTCTTGATCTTGATTATTTCTTTCCACCGCCCTTCTTTTATTTCTTTCTTGCTATATGTTTTATATAAAGATTTTATGATATCTACTTGTATATTTCTAATTGATTATGTTTTTTTTGTTTGATAAAAATTTAAATCTGATATTATTAATTTTCTAATTGCAAATTCCATATTTACATATACAAAAATACAAAAAATAAATAAAAAATAATATTAGATGCTCTTTTTTTTTTTTTAATATAATAAATATCATTATATTAATAATAATAGTAATAGACTAATACCTCATTAATATATAGTAGTATTATTAATCGTTCCGAATTTTTCTATAAAAGGAAATATATAAAGTACAAACATTCTTAATTTATCAAAAAAAATAATGTTCTCGCGTTTTTTCGTCAAAATAATTAATTAATCAACAACTATTACAAAAAAAAATAATAGTAAATAATAATAAGATGAATTCAGATTCTACACTTAATGAATAGTAAGTTATACTATTTGCAATATTTTCATTGAAACAAAAAATTTAGTTAAATACGCGTGTATGTACCGTTTATAATGGGTAATATATATTAATATTATATTTAAATGTGATATAAAGTGAACGTAAAAGACTTGAAAACATTCGACGCAATCAAGAAATTCTTAATAAACTAAGTATTCCAGAGTTTGTTAACTCTTTAAAACCAGCTAAAAGGTTAAAACCAGATTATAACAAATCCAAAAAGGCTGTTCAACCCAAAATACCAACTCAACCAACTAGAAAATCATTACGTATACGTGGTAAAGAACCCGTTGATCAAGAAAACAAAAAATCTAATGTAAAAGAAGGTAATGATGTCGATAATGGTACAAATAAAAGAAAAACCAGGAGTTCATTGTATCCAATGGTGGAGGAGAAACGTGTTGTTCGAAGGGGTGATTTAGAATTGGATATAATTAGATCTGATGAAACTTCTAAAGACGATACTAATAAATTTATAGCAATTTTATCAGATTTATCAAAATATAAAGAAGATTTTAAGGTGGAGATTGTAAAAAATGTAGATATTAATTATGAAAAAATTCCAGGTGGAACTGGTGGATTAGAATCAGTTAGATCAACGTACAGATCATTTAGCATAAAAACTTATTGGCCATCAGTCAAGGTTACCTACGAAAGAATCTATGCTATGGCCATTCATCCGGCAATTGATAAAATACTGGTAGCAGCAGGCGATAGAAAAGGCACATTGGGCTTCTGGGATGTAAATGATAAAGAAGTGATTAAAAATGAACCACATCCGAGGACATATAGTTTCAATGCTCATTCCGGCCCAATCTCTTCAATTAAGTACTCTCCCGTCGACTCAAATTGTCTTTACTCATGTTCTTACGATGGAACAATCCGTTATTTGGATCTTAACAATCCCAAATTTGTCGAAGCGTTTGTATCCAATTCGACATACACTATAAATGATTTTGACATGGATATGTACGCCAAAAGAATTATCTTTGTAACTAATAATGGATGGATTGGTGCTAAAGATGTTCGCGAGTCATTATCTAAATTTGTTGAGTTTGATATTCATGATGGTAGTAAGGTTAATTGTGTCTCGTTGAACCCAACTGACCCCAATCTATTAGTCACAGCATCACTCGATAAAACTGTTAGGTTATGGGATATTAGAAAAATGAAATCAAGTGGACCAGCCGAGCTCCAGATCTTTAACTTTGGTAATTCTATGACCAGTGCTAAATGGAGTCCTGATGGCAGTCAAGTTGTTTCAACAGGGTTTGATAGTTTGATAAGGATATTTGATTTGAATGAAGAAAAACATTTGGAGGAAAGAATACGTATTCCACACAACAATTTCACTGGAAAGTAAGTAATCTGTATTAATCTAGATGGACACATCGTATTTTATATGATTTAATTTATATATAAGCATGTATATTTATATATACCTATTAATTAATAATTCTACAAAAATAATTATGATAATGTAAAAAGATGGGTTACAATGTTTCGTTCAATTTGGAATCCCAATGCACAATTACATCCACACTTTGTTGTTGGTAATATGAAAAAGTCTGCAGATATCTTTTCTGGAGTTACAGGAGATTTGATTTGGAATTTATCTGATCCACGATTAACTACTATACCTTGTAATTAAGTTATAATTATTTCGATTTATAAATTATTTAACTAATTAATTCGCTAATTTGAATTTTGAATATGAATAGCGGTCAATGCATTCCATCCTAAAATTAATTTGATCGCTGGTGGCAACAGTTCAGGAAAAGTGGTCGTTTGGGGTTAATATTATTCAAAATTATTAAAGGATTTATTTTTGAACATTCTGATAATTATATTTACTAATTGATGATAATAATAAAATTTATTTTTCATTTAAGATAGATAGTACATCAGAAGAGGAGAAACAAAAAGATTTAACTTTTTAAATTTTCATTTTTTTAATCTATTATTAGATTACTATTATAATTTTAATCTCTTTCCTTTTTTTTAATAAAGAATAATTAATGACGATATATAATGTAGGGATGGTTTAGTGTTTACTGATTTATTGATTTTGAGAAGGTTAATGAGAAGAAAGAAGGGATTGATATTTAATTTAATAATATTAGTTAATATTCCTTTATTGTTATTACTTATTTTTTAGGTTTTTATTTTTTTGGCTTTATTATTATATATATTAAAACAGAATAATTCTTTTTATTATTATAATAAATTTATAAACTATATGCGGCAAAGTGAACAAATAGGTTTACTTGATTTACATTGAAAATGATTTAAGCAAACGCCTACAATCAACCCTAAGTTTCCATAATAGCTGAATCCATATTTGCCGTATTTGACATATTTGAGATTAATGTTAAGGAAATAAGATATTAAGAAGGCTTTTCTTTTAATCATAGGAAAATATATGAAGCAATAGTCTATACATTAACACAAGACCCCGGTCCTAACGCAGATCTATCCATAAAAGGATTTTTAATTATGCTATGGTGCCAATCATCTAAACACATCAAATGCTGCGCCAATTGGTGAAATTTTTCTATGAAAATCATTCCTTTTATGGAACTGATTTTTTAACAATTTTTTAATTCTTTTTTTTCTTTTTTTTTTTTTGTTAAAATGCTTAAGGGTAGAGGATCTTCATATTACAAAATCGAATATGAAAATTGTCCATAAAAAATTCCCGTTACATATACAACAAACATTACATGATCTTAATTTGGCAGCACCAGAGTCTGAATGTGTTTCCAACAAACCAATTGAACTTCATATCTATTCACCCAATGTTCCTGACTTGACTTTAATAGATTTTCCTGGTTACATTCAAGTCACAAATAAAAACCAACCTGAAACTTTAAAAGAAAAAATTGTTGAATTATGTGAGCAATATATCAGAGAGCCAAATATTATATTAGCAGTATGTTCTGCTGATATATATTTGGCAAATTCAGAAGCTTTAAAAGCTAGTCACAAAGTAGACTCTTTAGTTTGCATACTATTGGTGTTATAACAAAAATGGATTTAGTTGAACCAGAAATTGGTGCAAGTATATTAAGAAACACCGATTATCCATTACATCTAGGTTATATTGGTGTTGTTTGCAAAACCCTTAGAAAAAAAATATTACATCAGCTTTGATGCAACATGAGGACCAATTTGTTAGGAATAATCATGTGTATAGTCAATGAGGTATCCAAATTGGTACTGGAACTTTATGTAGGAAACTTATGGAAGTGTTGGAGGAAAATATGGCAAAATCATTGTTTTCAATTGTTTCAGCAGTCCAATCAGAATTAGAAGAGGCTTGTTATCAATTTAAAGTGCAGTATAATTGACAGGTTCGTTACATGATATATATATACACATATATAAATCTAAATATTTTTTTTTGCTTTGTATATATGCTTCATTAAAAAACTTATTGATGTTGATATTAGACAAATTACAGCAGAATCTTATGTTGCTGAAACCATTGACAGCATTAAACATAATTCAAAGACTTTGCACATCCTTTTAGAAAACCTCAAGTTAGAAATGAAATACATGCTATGTTAGAGCAGAGAGTGCTAGATCTTTGTGCAGAGTTGTATTGGACAGATAAAAGGATTGTTGACTTGCCAAAAACACCGCCTAATGATCTTTATTGGTAATATAAACTTGACATGAGTTCTGCCACACTTACTAAAAGCAGTATAGGAAGAACAAGTACTCAATTAATAGTAGATGTATTAATGGCAAATATGGAGAAATTAGCATCAATGTAACCATTGAATCATCACCCAGATACTAGTAAAAAAGTGCTTAATTTTAGTAATGAAAATTTACATAACAAATTTCCCACCACCACTGATCAAGTTGAAAATTGTGTAAAACTTTATAAATATGTAATGAACAAGAATGGGCTGAAGGTTTAAAGAGATCGATTTTACTTGTAGAAAAAGAATTAGAGTATTGTGATAATGTCTTACAACAAATCAAAAATACTGTAGGTAAAAAAAATTAAGAGCTGCAATAAAATATATTCTAGATGGAGAAAAAGAAGCAGCTACATTTTCACCTAAATTATTGAATAATTTTGTCAAAATTATAAAAAAATCAACAGTAGACAATATCAACAGAAACATGTACCCACATTTAAACAATAGTTGCTATATTTGGATAGCCCTTTTCTTTTATCATTTTGTTTATAGAACTTTTCCCTCGTTTAATGAAATATTTTTTCTTTTGTAATGGTGTACATCCGATTGGTTTCATTTCACCATTTAATATGGAAGTATGATTGGTTGAGGTATCACTTAGACCTTTATTAAGTGACTTATAAATTTATCACCGCAAAATATTGGTTTAATGATGGGATCCTGGAAATTGAAACGGTACTTGACTTCAGTGTATTTTTCCGACCTTTTAATTGGTAAATCTTGTCTTTTAAAGTGTATTAAAAAAAAATTAATTTAGTTTCTTCCGATTATTATTCTTGTAATAACAACAAAAGGTATAATACCTACAAGCTGTTAAATATTCCAACTCATTTGTCAGCTATTGAACTTTTTTTCAATTATATTCCAAATCCAACGAAGAATGGTATGATGCATTGGATAAAGTTGATGAGATTGATTGAGACAATATTGGTTTTTAATAGCATATGGATTGCTACCAGGGTTGGAAAATGTGTAGTCCATTGGGTCTATTGGGTCCATTAGTGTAATATTTTAAACTATATTTGATGTTTAATTAATGGCAATGGACCAACCCTGGTTTTCTCACATCATTATTTAATGTTGTTTGATGCTTGTACTGTGTAAACCAATAAGTGTGAGCAGTATAGGAGAAGAATCAAAAGTTTTATGTGAACTCACATCTTCAATTATTTCATTTTTGTCAATGTATTAATTAATATTAGTCAACGATTCTTTATCCATTTTTTTATCAAGCTCTGAGTAATAGTAAAGATAAAGATAAAATTAAATAAAAAAATTATATCTTAACAATTGATAGTGGACGAGGAAACCTATGGTGGCGCGCAGAACACCTTGTCTAGTATCAATACTTTATTTGATAGAGCACAACAAATGGCAACATGTCAAGGTGACCCAGGGTGGCGCACAGAGCACCCTGTCTAGTATTGACTTAGCTCAAAGCCAAGTTGTATTGTCAACCTTTTATACTCTTATGCAAAGTCATTCCTAACCTTGAATGAATTCTTTAGTAAAGATGCCTTGTTGAGGTGTCGTATTTTCGTTCAATCTCGTCTATGTGTTTCTTGTACTTGAAGCCCTACAATCCTATAAGCACAAGAAGTAAATGATAAGCAATTTTTAGACACGTAATCAATAAAGCCTAAATAAGACCAACCATCAACGGGGCACTCGTTGAAATAAGAGCCAAAATCTGATAGTTGATATTCAATGAAATAGATCAAACTGCTGTTGATCTTAAAAAATAATTACGCTAATGAAAAATTGAGTAGGTGCCGATAATCTAAAGACATCAAAAATTTTGGCTAAACTTTAAAATGTATAAGCTCAATGACCATGCAAGATAAAAAAAAAAACTCTCTATAGTTTTATTCTATAAGACATAAGGAAAGATGCAATAGAGAGTTTGTTTAAATTTTATTAAAATGAAGAGAGCTATGATGATTTAAAGTTTGTCATTTTTACTATGGTTGGCTCGGTCTAAAGACCTCCTATTGCTGCGCCACGCGCTCAAATTTCAAAAATTGCAATAAATTTTTTTAAAAAAAGGGTTACACATGATTTTGGTTAAAAAACTATTTTCCTTACTGCCAAATTTAGATATGATGGTCGAGTATTAGGCTAAATTTAGGAAT